TAACAGCCATTGCTGCACTTACACACATGGATGTAAACTGTGATGATAACTTGAGAAGATGCTAAACTTTATCGTTAAATCATAATGTGCTTAGATATATGCTCTTTTTATGTGGCAGAACGAGATATTGAGCAAACAAATAGATTGTCTTACCAGGATTACTTATGCAAACAAAGTTATTCATCTGTGTAAATTATGCAGTCCTAGAGTCCTCAGAGATATTCAAACTCTTCGGAAGCAAAAACTTTGCATTACAGGCTGCACAACGCGTAGCATGTTGATAGCTCTGCGTAAGTTACTGATTTCATATCCATTTAACAAAAAAGATTTCTGTTTAAATAAAATCTATTCCATGTTCTTATTTTAAATAATTTTTGTTTGTGCAGTTTGCCATATTTATTCTACAGCAGTTATACATCCATTTCTGTGATGACTTTTTGATAACTTTTCTACTTCACAGAAAAGTCCCAATATTGACATAATTCTACATAACCCCCCAAATTATTATGTGTGTAAATTACACCCTGCTGCTTGAAGCAGTGATCATCAGGCTGATGTGGGGATAAATACCGTTATATATTGCATAAAATTTCCTTCTCAATTGTAAATGATAAAAAGGTTCTGTTGCTCCTGGGAAGAAAATCAAAGTTGGTCAATTTCAAAGAAAAATGAAAGTAGATATTTAAAAGATCAGTATATTTTTATGGATGATTAAATGCAATCTCCAAATAAATTTATACCTAACTATTATTCAGTATTACTTTTTCTCTGGAAATAAATATCAAAGCATTCTCTCTGTGCCAAAAAAACCCCAAATTACCTGCCAATCTATGGCTAGGACTGAGCTGTAAAGTAGCATGAACAAAAGCAAATCTTGCCTTTTGTTTTCCTCCTAGGCAATAAAAAAGCTAAAACATAATGGATCTCATTATTCTACCCTATAGAATGTTCTGCGCATTTTTGAATGAAAACATCACTGAAGACTCCACTAATTTTACAAGGCTGGCAAAGAATTCAAAGGGAAGCCAAAATCTGATGACAGACAAGACTGATACACACAACAGCAGGAGACATGAATTGAAGCTTGGGAGGTTCAGACTGGATGTTAGGAACAACTTCATTTCTGTAACAGCCCAGAGAGATTATGCAATCCCCATCCTTTCAATTTTTAAGCACTTGCACTAGACAAAGACATAAAGACCAGATCCGGTGTCAGGGATAATTCTGTCTTAAGAGGAAGACTGGAGTATGTGCTCTTCAGAGGTCCCTTTCAACCAACATTTATATGATTTCCATGATTATTTCTTGACGTTAACTCTCCAAGTCAAGAGAAAGGTGAGCCAAATAACAACAAAACTGAGTAACAGTCATGTTGGCAGCATGACATAAACCTCTCAAAGTTTCAGAGTAGTAATAGCCCAAAAGTCGCAGAAGTGTACAATATAACAAGCACCATCACACTCAACCATGTTCTTTCACTGTTGTCTGCTAGGGTGCTCACCCACAAGGACTTTTACTAGCTCAAGCAGAGTTTTGGATGTCAGCTCTACGTATTGGCTCCATACTCAAGATAACAGCCTTTTTCCTGAGTGCCATCTGAGTGACTGAGTAGACAACAGTGTGTGTGCAGTAAAGCACACACTGGATCAGCTTAAGCACTGGCAACCAGGTACGTTGTACTGTCTTCCTACTAATGGGGAAATTGTATTGAGATGCCAAGACATGGAATTGGATACATTACCGTTCAGATAGAGAAGATCTCTGTCTTGGCAGGGTGGAACTAAACTGCTGTGGACTAAAACGCTCCTGGAACAAGAACAAAGGCAGTGATGCCATGTCGTGCTGGAGTTTGGGGTCGCCTCTGTACTCAGCCAGCCCAGTGTCTTCCCATGCTCTGGACCACACAACCATTTCACCTCAAACACTGCAGTCTAGAACTAGGTTGGGCAAGCGAGTCTGAAAGATCTATAAATCCTTATTTCATAAGGTAACGAGAATATCAGAATTACAGGAGCTACTTCTTCCCTGAAGGACTGTTTCTCTGGTTTTAAAGGACTACTTAAATTTTTATTCACTATTCTGCAGCCTGGAATTCAACAAGGTTTGTGTCAAAATATGGTGATTTTTTTTTTTTTTTCAATTTCTAAAAGGAAACTTTATCCAAAGTATAAGATAATATGGACTTGGTAGGATGGCTTCCATCAACCACCTCTAAGGAGCCTCAGAATGAATCAGAACCCAGTCCGGGACTTTGGAAATGAAATAATGCCTCCTTGTACTGAGGTTCTTGCTTCGTGTGAGTTTTTTATGTTCTCAGAAACTGTTAAATCAAACTCATTTCAGCTAGTCTGACCTGCAGCTAAATGCAGTACCAGTATTTTGGCTGTTGAAAACATATCATTTTTCATTTGGCTATGAAAACATATCATAGAAATAACATTAAGTACAAAAATAACCAAAATGCCTTTTCCTATTTTTTTTTAGAATTGCTTTACTGATGTAACATTGCATATGCTGCATTACTACAGTGACTTCCATTGTGTTACTACTAAGATGTAGTAACCATCTGTTAGGATTAAAACTACTTGTTTAAAATATTCTAAAAATTTGGGGCAAACATCAAGTATATAATCACATAGATTTTAATGAATTTAATTTTGCTTTATGATATAATTGAAACAGAGTATCTGACATCTTCACAAGTCCTTCTTACCCTTGTCCTAATTATGTAGCTACAGCTCTGGAAAAAACAGCAGATCTCTGTATGGAAATCATCTAGTACACTAGGTAGAATCACTATCTAAAAGCAAGTATAGAAATGCAATGGAAATTCATATTTTCTCATCAGATATATTAAAAATTCACTTTATAGAGAAACACAACATTGCATTTCAACATCTAGCAAGAAGTGACAACCTTGTCCTTGTTCTTACTACTGCAAAGAAAGAAGCAACCAAATGAAGCATGTACATTACCAGCATAGTAATGTCTTGTTTTAAAATTCAATGCATTTTTTAAACTTTAAAGGATGAAGTGAATGTACTACTGTTTATCAATCTGGCACACTTTTTTCTAATTGCCACATTTTCTATCAACATTTCCTGAACAAACAAATAATGAAGAAGCAATGAAGCAGCTAATAATTACTAACAACATTGAAAGGATAAAAAAATATTAATTCGTTCATGCATAACTGTTAAAATTCATCAAGATTTCACGTCACTTGTGAAATTCGTGTGTGACCGAAAGCTCAGCTCAACAGTATTGAGCCATGAAATGAAACCTTGGAGAATTCTTTTTGCAAGTGGCAATGAACAACCTCACTGAAAGGATTCTTTCAGCCAGCTGCTTTAATGTAGTTAGCCAACTTTCCAGTTTAAAGGCAGTCTCTGCCAACAAAAAGATATCACTTTCATGCCTGAGTCGGACAAACAAAACATGTCACCAACACAAGTCTTGTCTATTTTTCATCTCAGCTGTTTTTTGGGCTTAGTTTTCCCATTCTCAGGCAGCCAACGGAATTTGTTTTAGATAACAGACTTTTTTTTAAATTGCAGCAGTTCAGGAAAAGCAAAAAACATTAAAAAATAAATTGTGGCTTTTTAATTTTGGAGCCCAAATTTAGAAATAATGAACAAATAAATGTGCTTCCAAAACTTTAACCAATACAACGTGATTTTGACACAACATTAATTAAGGTATGATATAAACCCTGGAGAACTGACAGAATCACCGGATGCCTGAATTTGGAAGGGATCTCTTGAGATCATCTAATCCAACTCCCCTGCTCTAGCAACCTGCTAGACTGTGTCCGGTTGGGTTTTGAGTATCTTCACAGATGGAGACTCTACAGCCCCTCTGGGCAATCTGTTCCAGAGCCTGACCACCCTCACAGTTAAGAAGTCTCTTCTTGTCTTCAGACTGAATTTCCTGTTCTTCAATTTAGACCCATTGCTTCTTGATCTGTCAGAGGGCACTACTAAGAAAGTCTGTCGTCGTCTTCGTTTCCTTTCATCGGGTATCTATACACATTGATAAGATCCCCCTGAGTCTTCTCTTGTCCAGGTTAAACGCTTCCAGCTCTCTCAGCCTTTTCTCACATGAGAGATGCTACAGTTCCTTAATCATCTTTGTGGTCCCTTGTTGGCTTTGCTCAAGTAAATCCGCGTCTTTCCTGTACTGGGGGCCATTACTTCAAATTGTGAAATGTTATTTTATTTCTTTTGTCCTCCTTAGATTAAGGTATCTGTGATGGAAGGACTGTATTTTAACAGTGGTTAATGTTGACTACAGTTTTCATTCAACGAACAAAGCTGATTAGAACCAGGGTTTAAAGACATCAGATAGTATATGAGTTTTTCTTACAGATCACTAAGACATATTCACAAAAAAAATAATTTAACTTGCTCTGAAAGAATGAAAGAATAAAAGTAGGCCTCAGTCTTTCTGTGAGGAGAAGATGTCTGAACAAATGTGACTGGATTATTTGTTTCACGTAACAGTAAACTGTTTAGATTAGGTGGGGAAAACAAACCAAACCCACAGACTACTGGAGGATAAATCATTTTCATGCCTATTAGTAAATTTCAATAGGCTTTCCTTGTCAGTTAAAGAAAAAAAATAATTTTAACATCAAATTTTAAATAATAACGAGTGAAAAACAGAATAAAATTAGTTTCTGCTATTGAAAAGAAAACATTAAAAGGAAAAATGTTAAGATTCTGCTACTGAAAAGACAACATTGAAAGGAAAAATGTTAACATTAGTAACAGACATAAGAGTAACAAAGGATATAACAAGGTACACACTAGTGAAAAGAAATGTCAGCTTTGCATGGCAGTAAATGGCAAAAACATTGAATATTTATTTAAACATATAGTAAGTCAAAACACAATACCTGCTCAAAAGTTCAATGATATTCACTGTCAGAGCAATTTCATTTAATAGCACACTGTGTCTCAGCTTGCGTTTTTTCTATTCATCACCAGTTTGAAGGATACTCAGCAGAAGAATAATATGCGATTCTGCAACAAACTGAGCCTGGCTGCTTCCATGTATGTAACTCTGCAAAATAAAAATAAAAAAACAATTCTCTTTACAACAAAGAAATCTATTAAAAATGGCACAACTGGGTATGTGAGAATCGAAATAAAACTTGTTTTGCAGAAAAATACAGGCAACAACAGGTACAGGTGAACAGCATAGTCTACATATGTATGTTTAGTAAAAAGGAGTGCTAAAATCAGCATATTTAGGGAAAGCACACACACACAGTGAATGTAATGTTTCATACACAAGTGCATTATGCTGGACTCTTTTTCACACTGCAGCTACTGTAGAATAAAGAATACGAATTTATTTGCTCAGGAGATACAATTTTTGAGAAGGGAGGTGATGAAAACAAGGACATGCCTCAGCATGGTTTTGACAAAAGTTAAAAGCTGAACCTTGTCTTTAAAAAAAACCCAGTCTATTCACATAAAGTCTATTCCTTTTTTTTTTTTTTTCCAGGAAGGTACAATTGTGTCCATTAAAAAATCATAATTCATGAAATGTCTTGTTTATATGGAATTGTAGTAAATGTAATCACAGATGTTAATATTAAATGCAAACCTAACAGAATCTACTTCCCCCCACCCCATCCAAATAATTATTGTTAATAGGCTCATTTTGTATGTTTATTATTAAGAACATATAGTAAATTATTCCAAAGTTGTTACTATTTATTGTTAACTAGCTATGGTCTTTCAAAAGGAAGCAAAAATTTGAAGGACTGCAAACGTGAATAAAATGAGAGAGATTCTCTCTCTTCCTCTACCACATCAATTACAAACATGGAGTATAGTTTGCCATACTATTCTATGTGAAATTAAGTATATTCATGTTCTCAAAATATATGTTTTCTTTTTAGGCATAAATGCAATTTTCACCCCAATTAAATCGAAAGAAAAATGCTTGCTCCTATTAAGGTAAAGAAAAAAGAAACTTTTTGTCCTCCTTATGGATTCAGGGTTTTGTTAGTTTGTTTATTTTCTAACTTATACATTTTAATTCATTTTACTCTGAATAATCCTTTTCAAAATTCAGAACAATCCAGATTTGAAACATTCTGATGCTTAGGTATACAAAAGAATGTCTTCATCCGCACTGGTTAAATTCTGGGTGATGCACTGTCAAAACATGCAGTTCATAAGATAGGATAAAAAGTTTTCACTAAGTGGATAGTTATCTACTGTTTTCAAAATTCAATTATATTATGCTTATTCAAAGAACCAATTCAAAGCTAAACCAGGCAAGAACTTCATGTATCTAAAGATTCCATCTCTCAAAGACATCTTTCTTCTTTAACAAGATAAAAAAATCATTGATCACAAAAGAATATCTCATTGCAGTATGATATGACAATGAGCCAATATGTATTTCTTGATTTTTTGAATTTATAAATCTTACTGCAGCGATATATATACACACACATACACACGGATCTATAAAACAAAGGAAGGAAATAAGAACATTTCACTAACAAAAAGTAATGACGAAGTTAAAATGCTTAATAGATTGTGCACTCTGACTCAGTTGTGACCACAGTCCTGCAAATAGTGACTCCCTGTCATTATTTCTCACACAGCTAAAGCAATATATATACACAGGCATACATACACACTTGCAGGATCTGGATTCAAGTGCGCCTAACAAATGGTAAACATCTATTTGTTCTTACAGGGATAGCACCAAGTTAGTCTAAAGCTTACAGTGATTACAATATATACTGTATTTGTTAATACGATGTGAACTGAAATAAAAGAGCCTTTCAACAGAAAAGTATAGCAGGGTCTAGTAGCACTATTTAGTTATTAAATACCTATATGCATTTATACATAATCACTACTACTCTTTCTCTACACACATGCTAAATTGTATAAAAACGCACACTGAAAACCAAAGAAATACACTCTATATTGAAGAGACAACATTATTATCGCTGATTAATAAAACTGGTTGTCACATGACTCCTAAGACTATAAATGCCTTCTATGTTCATAAAAACATTTACATGAGATGTCATTTTTATTGATATGCTTTACACTTTGTTAAAGTAAATTATTTTTCTTTTTCTCTTTATGGTTGCAATTTAATTAATCATAGCACCATTGAAGGAACAGAATCTAAAGTACGTACATAAATACATACACATGCAGAGACCATACAGAGAAATCACTCCTTTCCTCAAAATAGTTTACTGACATGAAATTGTTCAGCTTTCATCCTAATAAGGGGGAAAAGTCTCACCTCCAAAAAAAGTAAATTTTCTGCCAATGCTTCTGATGACATAAATCTGTCCCACATTGGGTAGTGTCACATTTGAGGTGCTAGTCTTCATCACCCAGCATAATAACTACTTAAAAATATCACTCAAGTCTGTATAAATTCTGGTTTCACTTGGGATTTTTTCACTTGAGGTTTTTCCAGGAGCTGTTTAAGAAGCTTTCAAGGTACAAAACACATCACCAGACCAGTCTCTCAAAATATTAAGTCCTTAAGAAAAAATCATGAAAACAAATATATTCTACTTATCATTATTAATTACATGACAGAATTCTAGCTACCACCTGATAGTCAGTATAAACAATAAAAAAAACCCAACTAGATATAGTTTATGTGCAAATGCTGAAACTTGAACCAACAAAAACAAACAACACAAGAAAAATCTGAAACAAAAAAGCCTCACCTAGAAGATCTGAATCAAAGACTGCAATTTGAAAACTAGCTCATGAATACGAATTTCTGGCTAGTTATCTAATAGGGATTAATGCTGCAACTATATTTCTTTAGATGTGAGCTGCTAAAGGCACAGCCTTGCTTGCAAGGAAGTGGACGTTCTTTGATTTAGCTCTGTAAACATGTACAATACTTTCAGTACAATACTAAAAAGCTAGTAAGAGACAATGGTTACCTACTGCTCTGTTCCCAGAGAGGGGACAGTAATGGATAAAAGCCAAGTGAGTAGTCACCTTAAGTACAAAAAATAAGCTTCATCTTTATTTGAGAGAGCAAGAGATCTCAGGCTCTTGAGCGAGAGACTGCACTAGTTGAAAGCCAGTTAGTTAAAATGTTAAGTAAGGCAGATGTTTACCGTCCAGTATTGCCTTTTTTAAAAAAGAAAAAAATATAATTTTAACTGCCTTGTTCTATTACACTTTACTTTCAAGTTACCAATAAATGTAACTGTGCGTAATCAATAGGCTTTTTAAATTGTTTCCCCAAGACATTGTTCTCCAAATACTCAAACCAGCAGCTTGGTGTATCTCGACTATAGCTGTGGGTCAGTCAGAGCAATGGTAGTGAGGAAGTAAAGAAAGTGAAAAGTTGTTCCAGGGACAAAAGATAACCAAAATAATTTGCTTTTGACAATATAACGTTAATCACCTCAATTTATGAAAATATCTTACTCTACTTCTAAAAAGGAATGGACCTTAACCACTTTACAAAGGAATTACAGGTTGTGTTTTTTCCACAACGACCTTTCAGATCTACATTCTAAATAACAATCAGAGTAGAAGTTTTCAGAAGACAGAGGTATTTAATGTAAAAACGATGGCAAATAGCTTTTCTTGAAAAGAGAATAGTGAGAACTGTGTGGCATTTGTCCTTGTGTCTTT